ATCCGGGTTTCTGAGCGGCTTGGGGCTGTCCCGCCCCTGATGGCTCCCGCAGGGTGCAGCTGGGCACCGGAAAGGGGGAGGCTTTGATTTCAAAAGAAAACAAGGATCAAGAGGGAAAGTTGCAAGGGCAGACAAACCCACAGCTTTCCCCAAAGAAAAAGAAACCTACCCACTGGCCGGCCAGCTAAGGCGGGTGGTCAGAATGGGCAGCTCCCTTTCAATCCCCTTCCCACCGGTTCATTTCCTCCTCCTACGCTGTGATTGGATGTGAAAGGAGAAGAGCAATCAGCAGTGTCCTCGTCAATGGGTAAAGCCGAATGTAGCATTTTCACCTTTTACTCAAACGTGATACAAACCCCGAGCCATGCCAGGCTACGTGCACACCTGTGTGTCTGCTCGCCTCCTTTGCATTTGCCTCTAGGCGTTTATGTTCCCCAGCATTAATATTCATTCGAGATGTTAAGCTGTTAGTGGGCACGGTGTGGTTCCTAATTTGGTAGCGCATCTAATTCGAACCCACTGGCTCTAAGTAAATGCTTCCTCGTGGTGATGAGACTGATGATAATGAACCCAGCAGAGGCACCGAGTCCGGTAAACTAAACTAGGATTGGGGTGAAAACCTATGAACACCTGGGATCTACAGAAGGTGCAATCATTTGGCCCCACGGGGCTGAGTGGTTTCCAGCCCACCACTAACCTGCATCTCCCTCTGCACCCATCAAGGTCCTGTTCCAGGCCCGTGTCTTCACAAAGCCTCCCCCAAAACCTCAAACCTTCGGGGTTGTGCAGCTCATTTGACACTTGCAGGGGGTGCCCCATGACATTGCTTTTATTTGTGTGTGTGTGCACAAAAATAAGAGCTAACGCTTCCTTCAAGGCAGGAGCTGTGTACAGCAACATATGTATGCACTAGGTATGTGCACGCAATATATAGTGCACATGTATACTCCAGTTAACTCCTCGTGTGTCAGGGCTGAGTTCTGAACTGTTTCTATGCCCCCAAGAAAGCTTAGTGGCAAGGCACTTAGTAAACACTCAATAAATATTCCTTAGCTGTCAGCAAACCCAGAGAAATCAGTCGAGCTCACTTTGGAAGGGATGCTGAGTGAAATGGTCTGGGAATCAGAGTCATTGGTCAACATTTTTGACCGACTGCTGTACAGATGTACTCAATCTGGGTTGCCATTAATTAATTAGAATATTGTGGCCAGAAAAGCACGAGGCTGAAAGTCAGGAGACAGGAATCTCCTCCCACTCCTGCGACCAGTTCGGGGTGGCACCTTGGATGAGTCTCTTCCCCTCCCTGGGTCCTAATCTCCTCTAGAAAGGAACCGCGCTAGATGTCTGCAAGCCTCCTCCCTGCCAGGACGTGATTGTATGGCTCTATTTTAGCACTTCTTATTTGTGACACAAGACCCGACAGAAAAACAAAATCATTAATAAATTATGAAAAATCGGTGCCATGATCATTTACATTTTCTAAGGGTGCTCGATTCAATCAATTCCTCCCCTGTACATGTCTGCTCTCCAGGGCAACGGAAGACTCAGGCCGTCAGAGGAGCACACCAAGCTTCTCTCCCCAGAACGGTAGTGACAGGCCACCAGCTGAGCTCCAGCGGCAGGCAGGCGCCTGGCAGGCTCTGCGACGGAGCCTTGAAGGCTCTGGCCCCGGGATTCTGTGTTGAGGCACAGAGTTCGGGGGAATGAGTCATGCAGGGAGAAGCCTGGTTCTTTTTCTGTTGAATTTTATTCTTCCCAGAGAGTCACATTGGGAGAAAAACTGGCTAATAGCACATCGCTTTAGACAATAGAGTAGAAGCTCTTCCTAATGGAAAATATTTACATCGTTTTGTGACCACAAGAAGCACCTGCTTGAGTCAATCAGTCCCGCTAATAACCAGTTGGCTTGGTTTTAAATGAGGCAGATAGTTGTTGAGCATTTGTAGATAAAATAGGGGCTTGGATGTCTGAGGTTTTCCCTTTTCACTCGGTGGCTGTGGCAACCTGCAGGCATGTTCTCGAGTAACGGACACATATGCGTCCGGTGAACCCACGCCTGGGAAATGGCAGCGCCGGGTCTGTCCGGGCGGGTGCGTGCGTTTCAATGAAAAACAGCCTGTTCCTGCTCACCGCGGAACACAACCTGAGCAGCAGCCCCAGTGTGGCGGAATAAATGACTGTTTCTAAGAACACGGCCTGTTCTTCCAACATCCACGCAACCTTCAGGTGCAGAGAGCCAAAACCAAAATATCCTCCAAACCTGACATGCCACAGTGAGAAACCCACCAGCCAAGACACAAAAGAAGCTTAGGCAACCTATTGTTTTTGAAAAGACTTTTTTAAAAGGCTCCACAATCATTCAATCTTCTTTTCTCGAGAGCCGAAAACCCCAAAGATTTTCTATAATTAAAAAACAATTTTTTTAAATGTAGGAAGCTGTCTGGAGTGGTAAAAATAATACTGAGCTGGGAGCCAGAACGCAGCTTCTAAGCCAGGCTCCGCTCTGCCAGAGCGGAAGGGGGGGCCGCCACGGGGGCCATCCGTCTGGGAAGCCGGGCTGGAAAAGGTGAGTCAGGGTTCCTCCCCTCAGTGTCGAGGCAGCTTTTCTTTCGGGCGGGTTTTGGCAGAAAGTCCTGTGGCGCTGGTTGGTGTTAAAATGTGGACATGCTCAGAACTCCGGTAGAAGGTACCTACAGCCCATCAAGAACAGGAGAGGGGACAGGAGAAGGACAAGCCCTTGGCCCCTGGCTGCCCTGACGGGAGCTGGGTGCAGTCACAGAGAACACCTGGGCGCAGCCCCAGCCCCTCGCTGTCACCGCCGCCCCAGCCAGGGCAGTCCCGCTCTGCGTCTCATGCCCTGAGGACAGATTCCCTGGTCAGCAGTCAGCCATCTGCACTTTTTCCAAACCTAAGTTCAGGTGCAAGGAGCAGGGAGCAGGGAGCAGAATCTGTCCTGGAAGCTGGTGAGCTAGTGCCACCCAGAGGCCAAATGTTGTCCTTGAAGTGGAGGAAGCAAAGGAAAAAGAGGAAGGAATTTTGCTTGTATTGTACACAGAGGTAGGCAAAAGTAGGCTTACAGTTGTGAGTACATGAAACATAATTTATCTTTGTATTATTCATTAATGATTGTTGTATTTTCCATATGAACAGCTATAAACCTAGTTTTGACCACCCTTGTATTATATTATCTATGTATAGTGTACATTTACACATGCATGTATATGTGTACACATATATGAAGATGCATGTATGTGTCTAATGTGTGTGTGTGCTTACATGTATGAAAGTACATATATATAGCTCGGGGTGGGCATCACACACAATAAGGCACCGTGGTGAACAGTAACTCCAAAATGACACTGGGTTCATATTTGGCGAGAAGGAGGAGCCCAGAGTGGCTGCCTGGGCGCAGGCGATGGCCTAACACTGAAGCAGCTGATCAGAGGTGGGGGACTTAGTTCTCCCCTTGGTCCCAGAATGGAGAACCTCATCTGCCCTATCTGGCCACTGAGAATAGCTCTTCTCACCCAGAAATAAATAAAGGATCTTGTTCTACTTGAGCAGGCATAAGAAAGTGACTGTGTGAGAGAAGGGTGCCCAGTGTGATAAGCCCCCTTCCCCAGATGCAGGCAAGGACGTAGTCTGGGGGAAGGCACGAGGAGAGTGCGTGTTTTCATAGGGACCAATGAACTCAGCTAATTCTAGCACGGTGTTAAGAAGACCCAGGTTCCCTGTGCTCCCAAACACATGCATGTACGCATGACCAATGAACACAGACAGCAAAGCTGAGGAGGGGGCGGGGGGAAGGGGAGGAGGGTGTCAATGGGGGAAATGAGAAACATCTGTAACAAAAACAAATTAATAAATAAGAAATTAAAAACAACAATAACAAAAACTCTAGGCTCTAATCGGCGCCTGGAGTTAGATAAACAATCCTTCCTGCATCCTTGGTTACCACCCGCGCCTGCCACCTCCGACCACGGGAACTGCCGCATTTTTTGAAGCACACTGCCCTCCAGTGGCGCAAGATAAAGTTGCTGCGCGACCCGCTTCCCGACAGCCAAACTTCACTTTCCATATGAACAGCTATAAACCTAGTTTTGACCACCTTGTATTATATTATCTATGTATAGTGTACATTGACACATGTGTGTATATGTGTATACATATATGAAGATGTAGGCGTGTGTCTAATGTACATGTATGTGTGCTTACATGCATGAAAGTACATATATATAGCTTGGGGGGGCATCCCACACAATGAGGCACCGTGGTGCAGTAACTCCCTTTCCTGAGGCCGTGGGAAAGTGTTGGGTGTCGGGGTGGTCGCCAGTCCGGAAATTAGGTCAAACAAGGGGACGCGCAATGCCAGAGGACGCGATCTAGTTGGAAACCGCAAGCCCTCCCTCGCGCCTGCGGGGCCTCCCGGCGCGGGTGCGCGCTGCGTTCCTGGTGCGGCACCTCGAGCAGAGTGCGCTGCAGCGGAAATGAGCCGAGAAGCGGTGCTTCCAGCAGAGACACGGAGGCTCCCTGCGTGGTAGCCGCCCAGCGGGCAGGGGCAGGGGCAGGGGCAGGGGCTGCACCCCGAGCGGGCTGGCAGGTGGTGGGTGAGGACGTAGTCGGAGTGCGTGCGACCTGTCACCCTTGGGCTCATCAGCAGCCCCGGTAAAGGGCCTCAGCCAACATTGCGGGCTCGTCGTGTGTCGGGTGCTGTTGTGGCCGAGGACTCCCGCAGGGATCACCCTCTTCAACCTTCCCAGTCACTCCTTTAATGAGTGCGGTTATCATCCCCCTTTGAGGCTGGGGAAGCTGAGGCTCAGAGGCGATGGCACCTGCCCGTGACCGCATGGGGGTCCTGGTCTGTCTGAACCAGGGCCCGGACTTCCAGCGCTTCGCTGGACCCAGGCTGTGGGGCCAGGGCTGGACATGGGGACACCCACGGACGAGTGCGTGCTCAGTGAGGGGGCGACTCGAAAGGGTGGTGGCGTGTGTGCTCTCACCTTGACGATGAGCGGGTTCTGAAACATGGAATCCCGCACGACCCCCAGCCTCTCGTTCTCCATGCCCCGCCGGATGTCAGCCACGGTCAGGGGCCGCCGCGGGGGCGGGCAGATCTGGCTGACCGTGCGGTGCACCGACTCCTTCCTTCGCATGAGGTCGTGGCGGGAGCTCTTGGCCTCTGGCATCCTGGAGGTCGGTCGCAGGAAGGCGACCCCCGGGCTGAGTCCGGCGGGCTTCCCAGCTTCGGGGCCCCTCGCGCAGCTCCTAGGAGCCTGCCGCTTGGACCCCACCACTTGGACCCTGGGGTGGGCACCGGCCGCCGGGCTCCCTCAGGAGCGGGGTGCACCAGCCTTGGCAGCTGCCTCGTTTCAAGGAGACCTGACGGTCCATATAAGCCCCTTTGGTTCCTCAGAGCATCTTCTGGGCGCCGTTTTGTGGATTGGGGAAGGAGGGAAAGTCAAAGACCACCCCTTAAGGAGGAATGGAACGCCCTGTCTCCGTGGCGACGGGACGCCAACGGTTCTACGTGCACTTTGTTTCTTTTAGGAAACCATTGTTGGCCACCCAAGTGGACGTGCTCAAAGTTTCCTTAAATCGACGTGAGAAAACCCCAGGAATCACCACTTGTGTTAAAAAGCGACAGGGCTCTAGAGGGTCATTTAGTCTTCCAAGGCAAAGGTCTTCCCAACCCCCCCACACACACACACACACACACACACACACACACACACACTGACACAGGGTGCTAAATGTTTCAGGGTGAACTAAGAATCCTCACTCCTGGCCACTGGGTGATCTCAAACCAGGCACCCTCTTGAATCCTGGTGTTTTCTTCTGTGAAATAGGTAGGGAGGAGAGCACAGAGCTAAATGAGGTCAGTGGTGCCCAACTCTGTGCAGCAAAATGAAGGGAAGTTGAAAAGCACAGATTCACTGAGCCAGAAAGTCTGGAAATGGGATCTGGGAACCTGCATTTTAAAATATCTCTTCCCTTCCGTTAATATATATATATATATATATATATATATATATATATATATTTATCCTCACCCGAGGACATTTTTTGTACAGATAGAGTGGGAGGGAGAGAGAGAGAGAGAGAAACATCGATGTGAAAGGGACACATCGAGTGGCTGCCACCCACACGACCAACCAGGGCCGGGGACAAACTGCAACCGAGGTACATGCCCTTAGCGGGAATCGAACCTGGGTCTCTCTGGACCGCAGGCCGACGCTCTAACCGCTGAGCCAAACCGGCCAGGGCCATCGTATATTTTTTTATTTCGAAAAAATTCAAAGCTGTAGAAAAGTTTAAAGAAGAGTACAGTGAAAACTCATGTAAATCTCACCTAGATTCACCAGTTTTTAGTTTTTGCCACATTTACTTCCTTACTGTGTCACACACACACACACACACACATTGCTGAATTAATTTGAAAATATCTGTAGACAGTATCCTGTTTGACCCAAAACACTTCAGCATGTATCTGCCAAGAACAAGATTCTCGTACATAACTACGTCATTATTACACCCATGTGATGCTATAATGGTGCTTGATATGCACTCCACATGCAAAGTTGGGAATCTGCCCTTTTTACAAGCTTCCCAGGTGATTGGTGCAGTGTTTTTGGAACCACTAGCCTGGAGCATCTCTAGTCTATCTTCTAGTGCCAACCTTTTGTGGGTTTATTCCCCCATCATTATCATCATTAAGTGCTCAAATATCCACACTGCTCAGGGCAAGGTGTTCACCACAGAGCAAGCGTCACCAACCACGAACCTGCATTTCACGGCCTTATGTGCCAACAGTGGACAACACCCCACCCCCATTTCCTGACGCAGCCTTGGGTGATGACGTGTAGGTGTACTCAATGATATGTGCTCATGGTCTCTCGCATCTGGACTGTCACCGACATGCAGGTTGTGCGCTCTTCGATCAAAGCGGCTTGGCAGCTCACACAGAGGGAGTCAGGAGAGTGGGCCCTGGAGCAGAGCGCAGGGCTGAATCCTGGCTGGGTCGCGGAGTCCCCTTAGCAAGTTACATTAAGCCCTAGTTTCTCACCCACAAGGCGATGCCAAAAATACCTAATAAACATACCTACAACACAGGGTTGTTATAGGATTAAATGAGAGAACAAGGAGCCAATGTGGTTATGTTCACTAGCAGTAACTTCCGGATGCAGTTGAAATGGGAGGACTGGAATAGATCTGGAGGCTCTTTCTGTCTCATCTAAACTCTCTGTGTGTCAGACCCTGGCACCCACTAGCTCCGCCTGATGGGGACATCACCTCCTGCCACTCTGCCTTCCGGTCACTGTGCCCAGCTGCCCTGGCCTTTCAGCGCCTCCAGAAACCAGGCTCAGGCCTCTGTATCTGCTTCCAGTCCGGAACAGTCTGCCACCCAGCCTTGTGCGCGCCCTTTTCACGTGGAACTCGGCTCCACTGTCATCCTCGAAGAGCCTTCCCTCCCGTCTACAGTAGCATCGCTGTCCCCGGTCACTCCCTCGCGTCACATTTCCTGACAGGATAACCCGAAGTTAGCCGGGTTTGTTTGTGTCTGTCTTCCTCGGTAGGGCCCCGCCATGCTCGCACTGCTGGAGTGTGGATGGAGTTCGCGAAGACCGCTGATGGAAGGGTGCACGCGTGACCTGGCGAGCGCACGGAAGAATCGCCTCCTGTCTTAGCCTTAGGACCCCCTCCCCTCCCCTCCCCCTCCCCCAAGCCCCCCCCCCCCCAAACCTCCCCGGAGCAAAACAGGCAGATAACCACGGCGCTCTCGCAGTCCGAGCCGCGGGCTTGTCGCCATGGCAACGGAACGCCTGGGGCGAAACGGAAGTGACGCACACGACTTCCGCTTCCGCCGTCGCAGCACTTCCGGATTGGAAGAGTGGTGGTGACGCTTTCGGACGGCAGGTAGAAAGCGGTTTGCGCTGTTCCGGGTTTTTAGACGCGCAGATACGAGTCGAGGGGCGGGTGGTTGGCCCGAGGTCTGCAGGATGGGGTGGCGCCCGTTTCCTCGGCGGCCGCTGCGGGCCGCTCCGCACGGGTCCGGGGGGCGGCCGAGTGCGGGCCTTCCGGGTCGTTCCTCCCCCCGGCCCCGAGCACGCGCCCCGGAGCCCAGCAGGGGCTCCATCACGCGGCACAGCGGCGAGGGGTCCGAGGCCAGGCTGGGCTCGCCCACCGCCGCAGGGCGGGAAGCGGGTGCCCGCAGAAGTGGAGATAAAGGCGAACCCACCGACCCAGAGGCAGGAGCGCTGGGGGCTGCCTGGGAGCCAGGCCGACAACATCCCAGCCCTTGGAGGCCGGTCATGTCAGAACTGGGAAGGGCAGTAGGGAAGCGGCTGGATTGTTGGGGAAACAGCACATACCAGGGAGAGGGGACCCAGGGAAGCGATTAGAGAAGCCTCTGGAAAGGACTTTCACGCTTAGGCCAGTCTTAGCTCAGAAAGTGAACGGAGGAAACGCATTCCTGCAGAATGAGCTCTTTGAGAAGTCCCTGAGAATGAAAAGGAACGTGATGTTTTCTAGGAACTGGGAGAAGGCGGGTCTGAAACCCAGAGAAAGAGCTGGAGAGGTGGGCGTGGGCCAGACTAGGTCACGAAGGGGTGGTAGGGCTGTAAAGTTTGGGAACTTGATCTTAGGAATAACAGGAAACCATCACGTGTTTATAGCAGGAAGTGACCATATATTTAAAAGGTTGTGTTGTATTCAAGAAACAAGAAGGAGAAACTTAGGTATTTATAAAAAAAGAAAAAAACTGATGGAAAGTAGGAGAATATTTGATGGAGTCATCTGCTCTACTCATTGTTATGAAGAGGCTCTGAAAGATGGGCCAGGAAGGCGTCTGTTGAATGTAGCGGCTGAAGGTTGTAGGCCAACTCGGGAGTAGTGAGGGTGGGAGCTACAAAGAAGTGGATGGAGAAGTGGGTGGAACGTGAGGAAATGGAGGAGGCAGTTTCTCTCAAGAAATTTTGCTGTGAAGGGGAGGAAAGAGATGCGACTTTAGGGTTAGAGGATGGTTGCCTTCTTGGTTGTTTTGTTTTGCTTTGTTTAATTTAGAAGAGTCTAGCCCTGGCTGGTTTGGCTCAGAAGTTAGAGTGTGGGGCTGTGGACCAGAGTCTCCGGTTCGATTCCGGTCAAGGGCACGTACCTCAGTTGTGGTTTGGTCCCTGGCCCTGGCTGGAGTCACGCGGGGGCAGCCAATCAACGTGTCTCTCTCACATTGATGTTTCTCTCTCTCTCTCTCTCTCTCTCCCACTCTATCTGAAGATAAGTGGAAAAGTATGTCCTCAGGTGGGGATTAAAAACAATAGAATTGTCTAGAGATTGACGGAGTGTTGCCAGAAGAGAGCCAGTGCAGGAGGGACAGGCCAGAGACACGAGAGAGATGGATGACCTGACGGACCGTGGACTCTGAGAGGCAGGAGGAGGTTGGCATCCAGCAGTCATGTGCAGGGAGTGGTTGTGGGCAGGAGAAGGGTCACTTTGCTGCAGCAAGAGGGGCAGATGCGCGCAGGCGTGCAGGGTCGGAGGGAACATTTCTTGTCTAAGGTGTGTGCATGTGAGGTGGATCGTAGAAGCTAGCTGGCTGAAAGTGAGGGGAGAATGGAATTTAGAAGTCTGTTCAGAGTTGAAAGATTTGAAATGATTATTTCAAGAGAGTGGGCAAGTGAGCTGTCTGGAGCAGTGCTGTCTAGAAAAAATAGCATGCGAGCCACACGTGTAATTTAATGTTGTGGCTAGTAGCTGCAATAAAAAGGAAAAGGTGGAATTCAGCCCTGGCCGGTTTGGCTCAGTGGTTAGAGCGTCGGCCTGCGGTCTGGAGAGACCTGGGTTCGGTTCCTGCTAAGGGCGTGGACCTCGGTTGCAGTTTGTCCCTGACCCTGGTTGGGTCGTGTGGGTGGCAGCCACTCGATGTGTCCCTTTCACGTCGATGTTTCTCTCTCTCTCCCTCCCACTCTATCTGAACAAAACATCAAAAAATGCCTCGGGCGAGGATAAAATACAACAACAAAAAAACAAAAAGAAAAGGTGGAATTCAGAATGTATTTTACCTAACAATATTCAAGGTACTATTTCAACATGAAAGCAATATACAAAAACGATGACTGGGATATTTTAGTGTCTTTGTTCCGAGTCTGTAGAACCCGGTGTGTATTTTGCACTTAGAGCACAGTCTGGCCTGGCCACATTTCAGGTGCTCAGCAGTCTTGTGTGGCCAGTGGTTACTGGGTCACAGCGCAGATCTGGACAGGCACAGTCCGGTTGCTGGGCAGTGTTCAGGCCCCAGCTAGCGTCAGCGACCGCGTGTTTACAATGGTGCCCATCTGTCCAGTTGTGAGATTGTTTTCTCCAGCCATCCTTAGCAGTTCAAGGGCAGCCAAAGAGAAGGCATTAATTCATAGCTCCTCCTATGAGCCCGGCACTATGCTAGAGGCGGGGTTTCAGTCGTATACGGTATAAGACGGAAAAGCCTGCTGGACTCTCCGAACAGGGAGTCAGCTTGCAGCACTCACCCTGTCTATAGCCGAGACCTCAGAGAGGTCACGCATAGGTTTCCATGTGTCTCTGGGGAGCATCAGGGAGGAAGGCCTCAACCAGAGCTCTGGGTGCCTCCCTTGAAGGTGAGACCCTGAGGCCGGGGGATTTGGTGTGCAGTATAAGCCCACCTGTTTGTTTGTAGCCCCCTCCCTCCAGCCACACAAATCTTATAGCCTCTTTACTGCTCAGGAGAAGTTAGGTGCCTTCTGTAGAAAATGTGCTTGCTTACCATTCAGACTTGAATGATCACTGATGCAGAGAGGGCTCTGGGATCCATTGTTAAGTGAAAAACAGCAAAATGCAGATCAGAATACATTGATGCTACCTACTATGTAAGGAAGGAGGGAAATAAGAATAGATTATGGTGTTTGAGCCAGATAAGTATACTAACCAGTCAAAGAGAAATCAAATCTTAAAAAGGGAAACACAGAAGCAATACAGAGCAAGGAGAGTTATAAGACATGTTTGTAAAGTATACTTTTCACCATCTCTGATACAGTTCATTTTTATCCGTGTACTTCAACTCCAAAAGGCGCGTGCTCTCTGTGATATCGACCTTGGCGCCTTACTAAATTTCATTCCACCTTAGTGCAGAATTCTGACTCTTTGTTGGACTTTAACAAGGACCGTCTAGCCCCTTTCTCTGGACCTCAGGCTGATGCTCTAACCGCTGAGCCAAACCGGCCAGGGCTCCAGCCCCTTTCTCAAAGACATGGTCTCCGTTGGAGGTCAGCGGACACTGCTTGGTCCCCACGGTGAAGACCCTGGTGGGTCCCACACTCGGGTTGTGTAGAGTTCTGAGCTGTGGCTCCTGGGTGGGGGCAGTACAGGCAAACAGCCTGTCTTGGAATTTCCTTTTTTTAGCAGAGGAGACAGACATGACATGACTAATTAATTAACTTTATTTTTTAAGCTACAGCTGAGTTAAATGCTACCAAAGTGAAGTACAGTTTGCCATGAAGTCAGTATAGCATTTGGGGAATGGGCCTAGCACAGGGGTCAGGGAAAGCTTTCTTTTCTTTGCTTTTTTTGCAAATACTTAGATATTTATATCCTTGAATTGCTTGTTTTCAAACTCAAATGAAAGCGATCTATACCCTTGTTCTGCCCCTTGTTTTTTATTTAGGGCATTCAAGTAAGTACAGATAAAAATATAACACCCCTGTCATCATTACCTCAATTAAGAAATAAAAGATTGTAGATATGGAGAAACTAGCTCTCTACTTGTTCCTAATCCCTGAATTTGCCCATTAAAGTCACCATGCCTGTGTTCATAGTTTTACTACATGTGAGAACAGATACATACAGTTGTGTGTGGATTTTAAACTTAATATACGTGGCATCGTGGCGTGTATATCCTTTTGACTGGGGAAAGCTTTCTTGAAACAGCGATCTTCCAGCTAAGCTCTGAAGGATGGAGGGAGGCAGCGGAGAGTGTTCCAGACACAGGGAGTCGGATGCTGTCAGCCCTTGAGCCAAGGGAAGAGTTGTGGCATGTGTGTGCTGGCACAGAGCTGGAAGGCGAGGTGGCCGTGAGCATTGGCGCCCGTGAATAGCTGTCCTGAGTCGTGAAGGCAGGGGAGCAGGCTGAGTGGGTTACACGGAGCTCCCGAGCGTTTAGAATGGCATGAGCTGTGTGATCATGGTTCCAGCTTGTCCGTGGTCATACAGTTTCATTTTCTGTGATTTTCTTATTCTCCTGAGGCTAACGTTTTAAATGCTTTGCAAAAATAAGCCCTTGTCGTCGAGTTTCCCTCTAGGAGTAAAATGGAAGGCGACTTGAGCAGATTGGACATTCACACTCCAGTTTTCGACAAGAGAAAGAAAAAGTATACAGTAGATAAGGAAAGACACCAGGCGCGTGCCCACGAAAGTTTCAGAGACTGCCCCCTGGCAGGTGAGCAGTCTCACGAAACCAAGAGGGAAAAACCGAGAACGGACCGCCAGCATCTCGCCCCTTCTCCTTTGAGACCATCAGAGCTCTGTGATGAGACGGAAACGGCCCCTTCCGCAGCCAAAAAGAGGAAAAAGAGAAGAAGGGCTGCTCCGGGGGTAGAGGATGAGACAGGCGTGTACGTCCTGGTGGATAAAGAGAACATCGAGAACATGCCGAAGAACTTCAGAAGGGATATTGACGTCGTTTTCGTGGACGTGGGCAAGGAGCCCGAGGCAGCTGGGGAGCCCGAGGCCGGGGAGCCGCGCACGGTCACTGAGCGCCGGGAGAACGAGCTGGAGGGCCCGAGTGACAGGGTGAGGGAGAGGAGGAAGAAGAAGCGGCGGCGGGAAGCTGTGGCCTGTGCTGCTGTGCGAGGAGGCCCGGACCCCAGCGCCCTGCCCCAGCCCGAGGCCCTGCCCTCTGGGCGCCTGGAAGGCCGGGTCACACGGCTGCTGGGCGCTGCTCCTAAAAAGAAGCCGAAGAAAAGAAAGAGAGACAGTTCACATAGTCAGGAATTGGAGCGTCCTGAGACCGTGAGCTCGGAGGGGTCGCCAGTTGTCCGTGGCACGGGAACCACAGAAGGCGAGCAGGAGTCCTGCCAGTTGAAGAAAAGGGCGAAGAAAAGGAGGCAGAGGTCGTCGGTCGCCAGTGCGACCTTTGAGGCCCCGCTCCTTGATTCTCCGGAAGGGACCGGTCCCGTGATGGAGGAAAGCGCGACGCCCCGGCCGCAGGAGGGAACCCAGGCGGGCCCGGAGCAGGTGCAGAGGTAACTCGGGACTGGTGTGCCTTCCGGGGGGGGTCTTCTGTCTGAACGCTGCCTGGGGTCTGGTCCGCACGTCTGTGGTCAGTGGCTGGAATCCTAGAGCTAAACGAAATGTCCAGGGCGGGGTGCACACTTAGCCAAGTGACTGGACGGAGCGTCCTTTCTTCATGCAAAACATGGGCAGTTAGATCTGCCCCAAGAACTGACTGTTCTAGCCCCAGATTCTGTAACTGCCTGTAATAGGCATTTTAAGACCCCCCAAAACTACCTTTGTCTGTCTATTTGCATATAGATACAAAAGAGTAGATAACTACGAATGTTACTGAGCAGGAAAATAACTTGAATTGTTATACTTTTGAGAAAGTATAACTTTTCTCATTAAGAAAAGATTTTAACACTATTTATATAATTACCGATAGTATTTTGATTATTCATCAGTAGAGTCTGATGAATCAATTCAGGACTTTCCTGGGACTTGGGACAGATTTTTTCCCCTCATTTTTGCTCAGTGGCTTTCTTACATTCATTGGGTTGTCCTGGCTTAAAACAGTCCCCCTAGCAGTTACATGGGAGCGGCCTCGCTTCAGGTGGTCCTGACAATGGTGGTGGCCCATTCACGTCATCCTCCGAGCCATCTTGTCTGAACGTTTTCAGAACGCTGGTAATGAGGCAGGAGTGTGCTGGGACTGTGTCCTTAACTTATGTTGCACAGTGAGCCCGCTGGAGACTGTTAACCCTGCCTAGACAAAGGCACAGGACTTTGTTTCTGTTTCCTGTCTGAGTAGTTGGTTGATACAGTTGGACATAAGAAGAGGGGATCTGAAGATCTGGGGATGCATTAATGATCGATACATAGAAAGCCATGCAAAGGGAAATGTAGCCATTACCGACCACAGCAAAAAGAACTGTAACCGTGGCAAGCCAGGATGTTGATTTAACTATTTAGTCACCATTATTATAAAACTTAACTCATTGGGAGGGTCGGGAAGTTGAATAGGACTTAGCTTATTTGGAAGTCAATTTCTAAAACAAAATCATCTGAGAAATGGTAATATAAGAAGTAACCCTGGTGGGAACAGTTTGGGGGGGGCGCCTACCATGTAGGCAGCCTGGGTCCTAGTTAGCAGTTACGTCCAAGAGTTCAGACATCCTCAACTGAACCACGTCTCGTCGAAATGAGAGTCCCTGCAGGAAAAGTATTTAAAAGCTACTAGGGCAAGTGGCGTCTCAGTGTTAACCAGTCCAGTTTCCCCCTTAGGTTCGGACCTACAGACGAAGAAAGCAATTTGGAATCGGCTAAAGATTCTGAAGCAAGGTACTTATCCGAAGACTCGAGAGACTCGGACGATGCGGATGTGGACTTGGCCTCTGCCGTGAAGCAGCTCCAAGAGTTCATCCCTGGCATCGAGGACAGGGCTGCCACCACGATCAAGCGCATGTACCGGGACGACTTGGGACGGTTCAAGGAGTTCAAAGCGCAGGGTGAGCTTGGGGAACCCCAGTGCTTGTCGCACTTCCCTGGGGACACAGCTGGCCTGACCTTCTTCTGTGAACCGGTCAGATTTAGAGACGCACAGCATCATCCTATAGCAACCTTCCGCTTTAACTCCATCCAGAATGTTACTTTTAAATTGAATTTACTGGGGTTGCCTTGGTAAATAAAATTATATAGGTTTTAAGTGTACAACTTACAGTGCATCATCTACCCAGAACTGTGGTCCAGGCTGTAAGGTGGCCCAGTGAAGTGCACTGGTTTTCCTCTTTGTCCAGCTCTGGTAGGGGAGACAAGGAGGACTAGGGCCGCAGGAGCCCCTAACCCACAGACCAGGAGCTCGGTCCTGGGAGAGGAGGTGGAGGAGGAAGTCAGTTGGTTGTGGCCTGGGATCCGGAAATGAAATAAAATTAAGTGCTCACAGTCATCAGTTTCAGTGAGCGGTTCTTTCCCTGAGATGTTCATTTGAGGGTGAGTTGGTGGAGTGGGCATGGTGTCAGCAGGACCCAGCTTGGTCTCCCTGGCCTCGCTGTCGCGGGCACCTCCCAGGAAGCCTGTTGGATTTAGAATGAACTGCACAAGGGAGGCCGGTGCCCGGTGGGCAGTGTTTCCCAGCGCCCACTCTGGAAGCGCTGTCCACTGTCCCGAGAAAGAAAGGGGCCTTGGAGACTCAGTCATCTGGAAGAGATCAGCTTTGAAAATAGACAAATTAAGTGAGAAAAACACAATTTATAGAGCAGTGTCTATAGAATGACCCCATTTTATTCATATATTCTGTGCTGAAATTTTTATGAGTATGTATTTTATAAAAGATGTTTAAAAACTGAGTCTAAGAATAGAAATACACTGCAGAACGCAGTTAACACATGATGAAACTTGGGGGCCTGGAGTCGGGAGGAGGACTGGAATGTCAGGTGCAGCGACACGCCCCTCCCCTGGTGCATGTGCAGAGAGCACGCGTAGACCGTGTGCCAGCCAGTTCTCGGGCTGCTGTGAGGGCAGTGTGGTGGAGGAGAGTAAAGGGGGCTTTTCTAAACTTTTATTTTCGTACTCTTTGAAGTTTTAATGAGTATTTATCCACTTTTTAATATAAAAAAAGAACTAGTTTGAAAGGAGATCAGTGAGGCAGGAAAGGGCCCTGGAACGGGATCCCAGGGAAGACCAGGGGGAGAGTGGGGTGAGCCTGGAGCTGACTCGGAGGGGAGCCGAGCAGGCGGCCTGGGCAGGGACCAGCTGACCGGGCCCTGCATTGTCACTGCTGAGGAGCACGAGCTGGGCTCGCTTGACCACATGCTTTTTCTCCCGCCCCATCCTAGGTGTCGCCATTAAATTTGGCAAGTTTTCTGCAAAGGAAAATAAGCAGTTAGAGAAAAACGTGCAAGAATTTCTGTCCCTGACAGGGATCGAGAACGCAGACAAGCTGCTGTACACGGACAGATACCCGGAGGAGAAGGCTGCGATCACCGACCTAAAGAGAAAATACGCCTTTAGGGTGCACATTGGTAAGTTTGGAACTGCTCGCTCTGCCCACCCACGGGCTCCCATGGCCTCCTTGGCGAGTGCTCAGCACAGCGCTGGCCCTTCGTGTGTGTAGTGCTGCTGTGGGCGAGGGTGTTCTTGTTGGCAGCCTGCATTTGGGGATTTGGGATGTGTTCACGTCTCCCAAGTATAGTGCTCTACAGATTTTAGGAATGAAATGATCACCTTCCAGCTGTCCTACTTGGTAATAATTACGGTCTAGGTTTCTCTTCCTGTTCTTCGTGGTGTACGTTTTCCGTCTGCAGCACAAAGTGCATCCTTCATGCACCAGGGTCTCCTGAGTGTTCGGAGTGTAGTCATGCAGGGGCTTCGTAGTGGGAACCCCTCCTGCAGGTGATGCTGGGAAGTCAGAGGTCATGAGCGCTGCAGCACCAGCCTGGAAAAACCTCTCTTGAATGGAAAGAGGTTAATGTCTGAGGTTTTCTCCGGAACGTGCCCAGGAAGACGGCAGAGTGAGCCCTGTGGAGGGGAAGCCTGTTCATGTGACACGTTCTTATGGGGAACTCTTGGCATGTGTCCGCCATGCAGCTTCCCTCGTTCACACTATGTTAGAATTACTTTGCCTTGTGACGGTCTTTTCCGTGAATTCGGGAGACCGGAGCGGGAGCCTCTAATACAAAGTGTTCCGAGATCTCCAAGGAAACTGGTGATTCTGTACATCTGCTTCCCAAGACAGTGCCTGCAGGACGTGACATCCCAACCTTGCCGTGGGTCTAGGATAGTTTGTGGTGTTTAAAGAGCTGTTCCGGGACCTCTTCATGCCACACCCTGTGCCCTTCTGACCACCTGTCTTCTGACGTTAGGTAAGGGCATTGCCCGGCCCTGGAAACTCGTGTACTACCGAGCCAAGAAGATGTTTGATGTCAATAATTACAAAGGCAGGTAAGAACAGCGTCTTAGCCCTGGCCGGTTTGGCTCAGCGGTTAGAGCGTCGGCCCGCCGTCTGGAGAGGTCTGGGTTCGGTTCCCGCTAAGGGCATGTACCTCAGTTGCAGTTTGTCCCCGGCCCTGGTTGGGTCGTGTGGGTGGCAACCACGTTGATGTTTCTCTCTGTTTGTCTCTCTCCCTCCCACTCTATCTAAACAAAATATCAAAAAATGTCCTCGGGTGAGGATAAAAACATTAAAAAAAAAGAACGTCTTAGTGGCTTGACCCGGAACGTTTCTCTGGTCTTTGCTGACCCTGGAAGTTAAAGCGTCCACGGCACCAGGTCAGAAGTAAAGACGTGATGGTTTGTGTGTGAAGCCAGGCGTGTCTGTTGTCAGGTGCTGTCTTCCTGGCCCGTTTCCGTTTCCGCCTCTAGCCTGTGTGATCTCCCGAGTCCTCGGCTTTTTCTTTATACTTTCGCCACTCGGCGTGCTCGGCCACACCTGCTGTTGCCCAGGAAGTCCACCCTGCTAACTTGCAAGCCCCTTGTGAACCCCGACAATCCTGTGTGGTGTTCTCTTGAGCTCTGGGCCCAGTTCTTGGGTTGTCAGTGAATATCTGAAGCAGTATGAGGTCACTTGAGTGTGACTCAGTGGCAGATTTTATGTTTATGTGGTGATGGTGGTTTTCTCCTCTCCTTTTTCCTAAATAAAATACCCAGTTATAGTTTGTTTCCAACATTCCAAAGAAAACAAATGCAGGTGAAGTGTTGGCTTTGGGCGAGCTCTCTGCTCAAGGACAAGGGGACGAGCGTGAAAGCGTCAGCCCTCGAGGCCCGAGCAGCGGCCCGTGGCTCGTGGCCTGGGCTCCCTCTGGGAGGCAGCGAGTGCTCCCAGCGGGCCGGCTGGCTTCTGCCCAGCTACGTGATTTCAAACCAGCACGTGTGTTATCTGAACTGCGAACATTGATCTGACTTGGTTTCATTTTTAAATTTTTTACCAAAATAAATAAACCTTAAGTAGAGGAAAGGCCCCTAACACAGACTGACACCCACCCTACCCTCTTTGCCAAGCCCCAAGAGGGGACAGAACTTTAAGGAAAGTCGCTAAAAATGACATTTGAAATGGGACTTAAAAGAATGTGCTTGGGAAATGGTGACAGCTGAGGGGACATTTTTCTACCTGTGACATAAGTGTGGGAATGAAACTTTTAGAATAATGAAAGTGGCCTGACCCGTGTGGCTCAGTGGCTGAGCATCAACCCATAAACCAAGAGGCACCAGTTTGATTCCTGGTCAGGGCACGTGCCCAGGTTGCGGGGCATGCAGGAGGTGGCCAGTCAGTGTTCTCTCTCATTGATGTTTCTCTCTCTCTCCCTCTCCCTTTTTCTTTCTCTCAAAATTGATAAAGAAAAAAATTTTTTTAATCAATAAATTTAAAAATAATAGAATAATGAAAGTGTCATTCTATAAAAAAGTTCATTTATTTGTACCATGTTATTTGTGTTGTGGTCACCATTTACCCATAGAATATTTTTCCAAACTAAGGGATTCTTCATTGAAAAAAGTGCAGAAAGCCAAAAATCAAAACATTTTCCAGCTCTGCAGGCCTTGAAGTCAGTGTCCCTGTCTGCTCGTGTTTGTACCCTCAGTTTCCCTCTGGCGCCCTCTTCTGCTTCAAGGGTGCCCTGAGGTGGTTTTAACTGCAGAAGGACCCTGATTACCTGAGAAGGAAGCTACAGAAACACAGTTCTCCACGGTCAGGGACGGAGTCTGCACTCGCGGTTGCCAAGCGTGGGGTCTCATGTCCAGCAGTTCTGCCCACGGTCATCAGGACGCTGGGCTCTCACCAGGCCTCTTCCGTGCTGCGTCACTGACCACAGGAGCCACTCCCCGCCCAGGTCAGGGAGTTGCAGCATGTCAAAAGATTGCCTTTTCTTCACGTACACATTTGGGGTGTTGAGTCTCAAACTCCACTTACTGTGGTTTCTTTCGTTCTGTTCTTTAATATATTTGTCCTTATGCAGAATTAATGTAGGGTCTCTGCCCTTGTAGGACTTGTCCTCCAGAGCTGTGCTGGCCGTCCTGGTGCCCACCAGCCGCACGTGGCCGTCGGGCACCTGAAGTGTCCTGGTCCCAGTGGAGGCGTGCCTCAGAGTCACACCCCCTGGCGCAGACGGCTCGGTGTGAGGAAGAGAAGCACAGCGTCTCGATACTTTTTTTTTCTTTATTGATATTAGAGAGAGAGGAAGGGAGAGGGAGAGAGAAACATCGATGAGAGAGAACATCGACTGACCGCCTCCTGCATGCCCCCCACTGTGGATGGGTCCCACAACCTGGGCACGTGCCCTGACTGGGAATCGAACTGGCAACCTCTTGGTGCCTGGGTCTGTGCTCAGCCACTGAGCCGCGCTGGCCGGGCCTCAATACTTTTGACACTCATTACATGTTGAAATGACTGCGGTTTTAATATGTTGGGTTAAGTAAAACATGAACTCACTGAGACTAAATACAGTTAATTGTCCCATGACCATTAGGGAATTTTAAAGGACACACGGCTCGTGTGTTGGACAGAGTGGTCTGGAGGAGACAGACAGACGGGCCGTGGCTCGTGCAGGGAGGGGCAGGGCTCTGCAGCGCAGCGCAGGCTCCGGGGGTGGGGAGCCGCACGGCCGGCTGCAGGAGCTGTCCAGGCGGGCGAGGAGGCGACATCCACCACGGGGACTGGGCTCCAAGGTGGGGACCCTTGAGGGGGCTGGCGGGCCAAGCTGCAGGGGGGCGGACTTCGTAGGCACACTAAGAAATTTGTGTTGTCATGTACGAGATGTGCCTTCGGGGTTTGGAGGGGGATACCCTGATCCCGGTATTTGCTCTGGCCACTCTTACTGAGCCTCTGGCCTGGGACTGCCAGGACTGATTGGTGGGGTAGCCACAGTCCCGCTGCTGGGCAGGAAGTGACTGGAGCTCTGGTCATTGGATGGCCGCCCCATCCACCTTTCCCAGCACTACAGCAGACTATGATGACAATGGTTTTTAGTCTCGTAGTTCAAAATTGTTGCAGACTGTGGATGGCTTTGCAAGCCAGAGTCAGGGTTTTTTTCTCCTTTAGCAAGTAATTATTAATTGGAAGTGATTGCTTAATGGATACGAGATATCCTTTGAGGGTGATTAAAAAGCTTAAGATGCCCTAGCCAGTGTTGCTCAGTGGTTAAAGTGTCGGCCCACACACGGGAGGTTCAATCCCTGGCCCCGGTTGGGGTGTGAGTGGGAGGCAACCTATTGATGTGTCTGTGTCACATCAATATTTCCTTCTCTCTCTCTCTCCCCCTCCCTCCCTCCCTCTCCTTCTCTTCCCCTTCCCCCCTCTCCCTTTCTCTAAAAGTCAGTGGAGAAAACAACCTTGGGTAGGGATTAATAAGATCAAAACTTAAGAACTAGGTGGAGGCCACTGTCACATAATATTGTGAACATACTAAGTGTCTCTGAATTGTGTGCTGTAAAGTTGTGTGAACCGTTATGCGTGCTTTATGTCAAGTTATGTGAATTTCGCCTAACTACAAATTTTTTTTTTTAACTTTAACGTGTCCCCTTTGTTGTAGGTACAGCAAAGGGGATACCGAGAAGTTAAAGATATACCATTCCCTCCATGGCAACGACTGGAAAAAGATCGGGGATTTGGTGGCTCGGAGCAGCCTCTCTGTTGCCCTAAAATTCTCCCAGATCAGCAGTGGTGAGTTGTGGTTTCTGGGGCCCACCTCGGGGAGCAAACGAGCCCGGCAGGCCGCCGTGATCCCATGCCCAGGAATCATTGTGACCTGTATTCTGAGAGAGCCATTATTTTTTTCTTTGTTTTTAAATTTTTTCTTTCTTTATTGATTTTTAGAAAGAGAGGAAGTGAGAGGGAGAGAGGGATGGAAACATCGATGGGCCGCCTCCTGCATGCCCCCCACTGGTGATTGGGCCCACAACCTGGGCATGTGTCCTGACTGGGAATCGAACCGATGACCTCATGGTGCAGGGTCGATGCTCAACCACTGAGTCGTGCCGGCCGGACTGAGAGAGCCATTGTTTTAAGCCATCTCTCATCCTGATTCATTTCACTTCCTCATGCACACGCATGAAAGGGTGACCTTTATCCACCAGACTGATTGCCACCACACCTCAGTTCAGTCGCTTTCAGCCTGCCTGTCACTGCCAAGCGGACCTGTACCAAGGAGGCAGCGGGTAGGAGAGGCTGGGAGGGAGGGGTGCAGTTCGGTGACTTATTAGGCAGGGACTTTCCCCTAAACCAGTGTTGTTGATCTCCTTTCTCTTTCTCCTCTTTCATCAAAAGCTCCCTTGGTTATTTCCACACTTGAAAAACCCCAGTTGCTTTAGGAAGACCGTCTTTAATCGCTGTCATTGTGGGCACGGGGCTCCCATGGCCTGGCCCCCCACTTGGGCTGGCACTGCTTTAAGAAAGGACTCTTTGGTGTCGGTTCTTAAACGAATCCATGCCACTGTAGTAGCTTCATTTCAGTGTGCATGTAACTGTTTGGTAGTTTACATTTATAATTGAGATGTTGCTCCTTGTCTTGTGAAAAGTGTCTTATCTTTTTTCAGGCTTTTTTTAGTACGTGCCCCTAGCGGGAACTGAACTCGGGACTCTCTGGTCCGCAGGCCGACACTCCAACCGCTGAGCCAAACCGGCCAGGGCCAGGCTTTATTTTTTTAGAGAAGTGTTGGGTTCACAGTAAGCTGAGAAGAGGATACAGAGAGTTCCCGTGTCCCCCCCAACCTCACATGCACAGCCTCCCCCACCAGAGGGGTACGCTTGTTACAGTTCATGAACCTACACAGACGCCCTGATTCCCCAGAGTTGACATCTGGGGTCATCTTGGTGTTGTATATTCTATGGGTTTGGACAGATGTGTAATGACATGGATTGGACATTATCATTTTATTTTTAATATTATGTTGGAAAAATATATTAGCAACTCTAACATCATCCTTTTTTGTCTGTAGAAAGAAACCACGGTGCTTGGAGTAAGGCGGAAACCCAGAAGTTAATCAAGGCTGTTGAAGAAGTGATTCTGAAGAAAATGTCTCCCCGGGATTTAAAAGAGGTAGATTCTAAACTCCAGGAAAACCCCGAAGGCTGCTTGTCCATTGTTCGGGAAAAGCTCTACAGGGGCATATCGTGGGTAGAAGTCGAAGCTAAAGTAGAGACCAGGAATTGGATGCAGTGTAAAAGTAAGTGGTAAGTTTTAAGGCTTCTTATGTAAATTTCAACGAGATACTCTCTCTTTCTCTCTCCCCCCAACCCCCCAGTTTCTATAGGGTGGGTAGATTGGGGGGTTGTAAGAATATCTGTGTGGCCACCATGTGGAAAGAAAGCCTCCCATGTCAAGAATCACCGTCCTTTGCCGCACGCACAGCTCCCTTGGTGTTGTCAACGTCTGATTTAAGTCAGCACTTCCCCAACCCTGGCGCACCATACGACTGCCTCGTAAAGAACTTGAACCTTTTTTTTATCCTCCCGAGGACATTTTTTCCATTTTTGTTCAGATAGAGTGGGAGGGAGGGAGGGAGGGAGGGAGAGAGAGAGAGAGAGAGAGAGAGAGAGAGAGAGAGAGAGAGAAACATCGACGTGAAAGGTACACACCAAGCAGCTGGGGACAAACTGCAACCGAGGTACATGCCCTTAGCGGAAACTGAACCCGGCTCTCTGGACTGCAGGTCGACACTCTAACCACTGAGCCAAACCGGCCAGGGCAGAACTTGAACGTTTTTAATACTGAATATGGACCTCTGATTTCTTCAGTCTGTCCCTTTCTAAGCCTTTAGTAACAAGGTAGTTTCCTGTTTGTGGCATTAAAAAAAGACCAAAAAACTGCTCAGCTGGTGTGGCTCAGTGGACTGAGTATCATCCCATGGACTGAGAGGCTCCAGTCTGAGTCCATCAGAGCACAAGCCCAGGTTACGGGCTCGATCCCCAGTAGAGGGCGTGCAGGAGGCAGCCGATTCATGATTCTCTCTCTTTCTTCCCCTCTCTCTAAAAAAATCAATTAAAACATATTTTTAAAAAAAGATATTATAGTCCATCACCCCGTGCCTACTCTAGCCACGCCCACCACCTCCCACTGGACACGCGTGCCAGGGACCCATCCTTCATCCTTACAGGAACCCTGCTAGACAGGAACTAGTACTATGACCTCCCCGATCTTACTGATAAAGAGCCACGGACATCCACATCGACACTGAGCACTGAGGAGGAGTTAACAAGACAGAATGACACGCTCAGGACCCGCACCTGGCAACACTGCTGACGCGGTTGCAGACGGCGGCTCGAGGGCACCGCTGGCCTGCACACATGCTCAATGTGGCCTGTAGCGTTTTAAAAACTCGTGATACCAATGTTTGGTTTTTTTAAACAGAAACATGCACATGAAAGTCCAAACATCTGGCTTTCCTCCGTGAGGCATTAGATTACCTGGTGATCAGCAGGAGGCAGCTGATTGATGTCTTTCTCTCTCTCATCGATGTTTCTATCTCTCTCTCCCCCTCCCTTTCTCTCTAAAAAAATCAATAAAAATATTTTCAGGGAAAAAAAAAGAAACCAGCCTGGCTGGTTTGCTCAGCGGTTAGAGCGTCAGCCTGCAGACCAATGAGTTGTGGGTTTGATTCCAGTCAAAGGGCACGTACCTTGGTTGTGGTTTGTCCCCAGGCCTGGTCTAGTCATGCAGGAGGCAGCCAGTTAATGTGTCTCTCTCACATCGATGTTTCTCTCTCTCTGCCTCCCTCCCACTCTATCTGGTGATAAATAGAAAAATATCCTTGGGTGAAGATTAAAAAAAAAAAAAAAACTAACATTCAGGCCCTGGCTGGTTGGGCTTAGCGGTTATAGCCTTGGAGCTCAGACCTGAGTGTCTCGGATTTGATTCCCTGTCAAAGGCATGTACCTTGGTTGCAGGTTCATTCCCAGCCCTAGTCAGGGTCACGTGGGAGGCATCCAATCAATGTGTCTCACATCGGTGTTTCTCTCTCTCTCTCCCTCCCTCCCTCTCCCACTCTAAAAAAACTGTCAATGGAAAAGTGTCCTCAGGTGAGCATTAAAACAAAACAAAAGAACGAACATTCAGGAAAAACATCACAAACAGTGATTAGTAAGAGCTGTGCCTTTTGTCTGTTGCTTACTAATTCGGTGATGAGTTCCTGATTCACCTGCCTCTTCCTAGAGTGAGGGGTCCCACCCCATAGAACTGTTTCAGTACATCGAACGTCTGGGAGTATTTCTGGTCCTGATCTTGCTGTGAGTCCTTGGACTCAGCCGCAGCCCCGGAGGGCCTCTGAGCTGCCCTAGAAGCAGGGGTCCTGCGGCTCAGGACCCTCACCTCATGCACAAAGGAAGCTCGGGCATCCTGCTTGTCAAATAAGAATGAAATCCTGAGTAGGTGTATTTTATGCTAAAAGAAAATGCCTAGATTATACCGTTTATTATTTTTGTACTTTACATTCCGTTGAAGAGTTATTTGTTTATTTTAATAGAAGACTATGTTCAGGGAACTACACTGCAAAGAACGGATAGTGTTTGGGGCATAGTATGAGATGGAGGAACCAGAGCCCCTCCCACCCTTATGTTTTAGACTAAAAAAGGGTGAGTTATGAACCTCAGTTGGAGGATTGATGGTCAGTGTTAAACGAGGTAGACCACCTTCAGAATCGGTGTAATTAAATAATGTGCAAGGCTTGCTTCTCAATTTGAAGAAAAAAGCAGGATACTTGTAGCCTGAACATACGTTTACTTCATGTAACATTGAAATGACCTCAAGTGACACATTAAAAAAAATTTTTTTTCTTTATTGGTTTTTAGAGAGAGAGGAAGGGAGAGGGAGAGAGAGATAGAAACATTGATGAGAGAGAACATTGATTGGCCGCCTCCTGCATGCCCCCCTCTGGGGATTTGGCCCACAACCTTGGGCATGTGCCCTGACCAGGAATCAAACCAGCGTTCTGTTGGTGCATGGGTTGATGCTCAAACACTGAGCCATACTGACGGGCTCAAGTGACACATTTCAAACCCACGAATGTGGATGGCTGTTAGTAAGAACATCGGTGCTATTACCACGTGTGTGCCATGTCTCTCTCCCTTATCAAGAAGGTGTGGCTTCGTGGTTAGAGTGTTGGCCCTAGGACGGAAGGGCCTGAGGTTTGATTCCCAGTCAAGGGCATGTACCTGGGTCATAGGTTTGATTCTCCGGCCCCGGCCAGGGCGCGTGCAGGAGGCAACCAATCTATGTCTCTCTCCCATCAATGTTTCTCCCCCCCTTCCCTTCCACTCTCTAAAAATCAAGGGAAAAAATATCCTTGAATGAGGATTAACAAAAAAATAAGTAAGGAGAATGGTAACGGCTAATGATCTGTCCATCAGTTTGTGACAAGTTTTGCAATGCAAAACAAGGACTGTTTAAATATTTTAAATTGGGTTGCTACTCTAATTAGGAACTTCGGTCACCTTTTCCTTCAGCCAATAGGTTCGGGCCTGAGAGAAATCCTCAGATCATGTATCACTTTACTAAATTTGTCTCATTTGGTGTCCCAGCAGCTGGTCACGGTGGTGAGAGCAACGTCTGTTTATAAAACAGTCAGAACGAAACTGTCTGCACAGCATCCTTCAGCAGCTGCTATACTGGGCTGCTTCTTCGTCCCCTTTTTAAACTTGTTTGCTATGGAAATTCTGTAACCAACAGTGTTTCTTGCATTCTTCATCCAGCTCCATAGTCACCACTTTCTATCACTGTATTGTCCTTTCCCACTTCTTTTCAAAACCACTGTCTTGTGGGTGGTGGCAGATGTGAGCAAGGACGAGCTGCAGAAGCTTGAAAGTGGTCTGAGGAGGGCAGTTGAGAGGGGAAAGATAGGGAACTGGAATAGAAACTGCACCCCTGAAAGTGACCTAGATTCTCCTTTCTTCCAATCAGGTCGGAAATTCTCACCAAGAGAATGACGAATGGTCGGGACGTGTACCGAGGAGTGAATGCCCTGCAGGCCAAGATCAACCTGATCGAAAGGTACGGCCCAGGAAGTGGGGCTAGTTCACGGCTTCTCTCCCAGAGTCGTCGTTCAGTGGCAGAACGCGCAGTGAGGTGCCATGGTTCTGGGCTTTCTACATGTACACGGTGCAGATCCCTGTTCCGGCAGCTTCTACATGTACACGGTGCAGATCCCTGTTCCGGCAGCTTCTACATGTACACGGTTCAGATCCCTGTTCGGCACTGTCTGCATGTACACCGTTCAGATCCCTGTTCCGGCAGCTTCTACATGTACACGGTGCAGATCCCTGTTCGGCACTGTCTGCGTGTACACAGTGCAGATCCCTGTTCCGGCACCTTGGGCGTGTTTTCCTTGCTAGGTCTTGGTTTCTTTATTCTAAATGAGCATGATGATAATAGTACCTGCCTCTTACTGTTATTGGGAGAAGAAATGAAACAATGTGTGGAGAATGTACTACACATGCAACAAATGCAGTCATTTTAGCCCTGGAAGGTGTTCACGTGGATGCCCGTCATTTCCGTCCGTGTGGAAGCGGAGGCAGCTTATTCCTGCCGAGCCCTGCTGCCCGCCAGCGCGCGTTGGTGGGTGCCAGCGGGCGGGTCTTTGGTTTTGTCTGAGTTCTGGGCCACGCAGTTCCCTTCCTGAAGGAGGGGAGACGTGTCTGTTTCAGGAAACCTGGGCTCGGGTCAAACAACAGCAAAGAGCGGGAGGCTCTGGATTCTGGTCCCTGTGCTGTCCTGATGCCTGCTGTGGCGCCGTTGGTGTGCCTCCCGTGTCCCCACCAGAGAGACAGCATAGATGAGCGGAGCCGGGGAGGGCATCAAGTCGGGCAGCCTGGGTTCCATGGTTGGTGCCACCTGTCAGTCATGAAACCTTGGCCCAGGGCCCCAGGCTCTCGGTCCCGTTTCCTCGCCTGTAGAATGGAGAGACTCCCCCGACCTCATCAGGGTGTTGAGGGTCAGTGAATGAGTGAATGCCACGTGGTGTGTGCTGAGCACTGGTGTACCCTCTCCGTGTGGCAGTTGTGTTTCTACCATGAGAAAGCACGATGTGGTGGGAGGTGTGGAGGGCTCGGGGGGTTTTTAGGTTCGTAGCCCACCAACTCAGTGACCTTGGGCTGGCATTCTGCTCGCTGGCCCGGACGAAGGGGTTGGTGCCTTCAAGCCCTTAATAGCCTGTGAGTCCCCACAGACGCCTGTCGTGCCAATATTTGCTTGAAAACTCAATTTTTATGTTTTCTCGTAGGCTGTACGAGATCAATGTGGAAGATGCTAATGAAATAGACTGGGAAGATCTTGCTAGTACCATAGGGTAAGAGCATTTGTTTAATATTAAGTTAATTTAAAGATAAGCAGTGGTTTTTCAGAAATTACTGCCTATCAGAACTTAAGGAACCAGCTGAAATCATGCTGCGTGTGGGCTGTGTCTGGAAGTTGCATTTATGTACATATGTCTTCAGAGCCCCCACTCTGCCCCCACTGAAGACACCTGAGGAGTGAGCGAGCCGTGTACGGGCTCAGAAGCTTCAGAGCTCACGAGCTGAGGGACTGGGACCAAGAGCCCACGTACCCTTTGCCCAGGACCATCGTCTCCCCCTCCCGCCGCTTCTCCAAGGAGCCCATGTGAGGGGCAGCGTGTCCTGTAGGAGGTTGTCATTCTGCAGTGGTCATGCCAAGGAGATCTGACGTTGAGCCACACTCAGAGTCCCCTTGTCCTAGTAACGTTCTGGGTTACATTTCCCCCTGCTTGGGATGCCGTCCAGGTCACGCGCTGCACGCCCCGTCTCTGGTGGCTTTCAGTTGTAGAGTTGAAATGCTGGGGACACGGGCTGCCTGTCCTGGGGACGCTCCCTCTGCTGGAGTGTCTGACGGCTCCTCCAGTTACGTTAGGGCTCCGCATCAGGTAGGAACGTGACGGGTGTGGCTCCTCACGTCCCGTCACGTCCTGAGGCGCTGGCTCTGATTTTGGCCATTTGGCTCTGCTGGTATCTACCACATTTGGCCACTGCATCTTTTCTTAAAAAAAAAATTATATCTTTTTTTTTTCCATAAACTCACAAAATATAGCTTAAGATGTAGCTATCTATATGAGGAAGATCGTTATAGCATAAGGACAATGCGAAAAAGCGTGAAGGAGAAGGTCTGCGCAGCCACCTAGAGCTGAGGCGCTGCTGTCGGAACCAGCACGGTGAAGCAGCGGAGCCCAGTGGAGCCGCCGCTCTCCGCGCACCGGCCAGGGAGGCCGTTTGCCTTGACTTGCAAGTGGGAGTGGATGTGGGGGAAGGAAGGGCTGAGGGATCACGTCAAGGGTCCACCGAGCGGAGACCGGACCATCAGCCCATGCGTGTGCACATGTCCGTGCCCATGACCGAAGCGCTGGTGTGGGGTGCCCGCCCGGAGCCGCCCGCCTGCGCTTGGTCCAGCGGACAGAGGCGCTCGGCCCCTGCAGCCTCCGCGCGGCGCTTTCGGTAGCGGTCGCCCTTGGGGTGAGAAGGCTGCTGCCCGCTCGCTCCCCTCGTGGTCTCGAAGGGTGCTCCTTGGCATCTCGTCTGAGGAGGGAGACTCCTCGCTGTCCACGGGCTGTCTGCCTGCCTCCCTGCGAGCCCCAGGGCCGCGGCCCTTGCCTTTCCATCAGCAGAGGCCACTCAGTGTCCAGGTGCCACGCTCGGTGCCCGAGGGAGAGCTGGCCCGCAGAGCTCAGTCCCTCTGAGCAGAGCAGATTGTCGAGAATCGTGGGGTGCGGGTGGTGTGGGCTTTGGGAAGTAGGGTGTGGAGGGACTGTTTGGCCTTTAGTTTGGAAGGTGGACAGGAGCAGGGCCGTGGCAGCCTGGCTGACTTGCAGGAGCTTGGCTGCTGGCCACAGCTGTCATGGGTCCATCAGGAAGGGTCAGACCAGTTCTCTGGTTAGTTACTTCCACCTTGGGATGTTGCCAAAGAACAAGCCGTCTTTCTTTTTTAACTTGGAGAACTGGAGTCTTTTAGTGACAGGCCCTGCCAGGAGTCGGACACATGCCCGTAGCTCCACGCCCTTTCCTTCCTAGCTCCCCGAGGGGTGGCACCTGCCCTTCCGTATCGTGGTGTCTGAGGTGCTTAGAAGGAAGGGGACCCTGCTGTGCACCCCACCAACTTTCATCTTGAGGACTATGTCCGCAAAACCCCCTCTTTATATTATCAAGCGCTTTTTAAAAATCTGATATTTCCAGTCATTTCTTGTATATTTTGTGACATTGCTTCAGATTACATGATTTCTTAAAACGGGTTTTTAATGATTTTAAGTAAAAATTATACATATATTTCAGAATTTTTAAAACTTATTTTAGAGAGAGAGAGACATCGATTTGTTGCTCTACTTATTCATGCATTCTTCGGTTGGTTCTTGTATGTGCCCTGACCAGGGATTGAACCCACAACCTTGGCGTATTGGGACGACACTAACCAACTGAGCTACCTGGCCAAGGCCTATATGTATATTTTTAAAATGGATTGTTCTATTTGAGATTTGTAAATCTCAAAGCTGTAAAACGGCAATTATGGCAGCTAGTCAAATACTGTCTGAAAGAGTACATTCTGAAAGTTTTACTAATGAACTTAAACAGTGAAAAATAGTTAAAATTTCAGACTCTTCAGGTCCTGAAAGCCTCCCGTGTGAATTGTTTAGGCAGGATCTAAAGGCAGCATCCGCCTAATGAGTTTGAAAATGTCCAGACCAGTTGATGTCACCCCTCTGAGCCCGAGCTGAGTCCACAGAACGTGACGCCGGGCGTGCGGCGCGGGGGAGCCGGGTGGCGTGGTGCGTCCTCAGGCCGCGTGTGCCCGCGCTGTCTCGGCTCCCCGTGCACGCCGTGGCTCGAGGGGCCCCGCGAGGCCCTGGGGAGGTGAGGCGGGCAGGTTCTTGGCGCAGTGCCCAGCACACCGTGTGTCCAGCTCGTGTCGCTGTGGTGAAGGGGTCGAAAGAGCCCACTCATCTTTCCTTCCACATATTTAACAGATAAAATTATCCACGCTAATCATTTTAACTGCTAGGTTAGTTCATTATTGCTTAAGAAAAAGTGTCCAGGAAGTGAAGTTAGTGATTTTTACTTTAGAAATGGTAAGATTTGGTTGTTACAGTCTTACTACAAAGTGAAAATGTATTTGAGTCACCAAAACATCATCAGCATGTGCATTTTGGAGCTTTTACAAAATAAAAATCAGGTCGTCTGCCTTGAACGGCGACATGCACACATCCATCCTGAGTGTGATGGCTGAGAGTGTGGAAGCTGGAGTCAAATCACCCAGCTGTCCCGGCTCTGCCCTTTATTAGCCGTAAGACCTGGGACCACGTCTCTCTGCCTCAGTTTCCCCATCCCTAAGATGAGGGCCGAGAGTAGCGGCTTGCTGGTAGCATGGTCGTGAGGCGTGTGTGTTGCTGCGTGGGAAGTACCTAGGGCAGGGCCGGGTCCGCGGTGAGCATCAGCACGTGCTGGCTAGTGTTAAACTTTGTCTCCCAGCTGGAAACTTCAGTTGTCCCAGTTTAGACAGAACCCATCGTGCCGCCCTGCTGACTTGCTCCCTTGTGTGTCTTTAGCAGAGCCATCAGCAGCTTTCCATGTGTCCTGTTTGGTCACGTTGCGGCCGGGACGGTTCCACGTTCAGGGTTAGGAAAGCTCGGTAGTCTAGACCTCACCTCGTCCGTGCAGTGCGGCCGAAATGATTCGTTTTTATACCAGCACTGACCATTTTTTACCTTTTCCTTCCTAAAGTGATGTTCCTCCGTCTTATGTGCAAACTAAATTTTATAAGCTCAAAGCTACCTGTGTCCCCTTTTGGCAGAAGAAGACGTTTCCAGGTCAGTATTCTCAGCATTGGAATGGGTAGAGCACAGTGTGGGGTGCCACACGCCGGTAGTGACCTTGAGCAAGTCACTCCACTTCCGGGAGCCTCAGCTTCTTCCGTTGTCACATGGTGAAAACTGGCTTATTATAAGTCCTACCCGGGTGCCAGGACTTTCTGAAGTACTAAATGAGACCACGGATAATAAAAATAAAAATCAGGGTAAGATGTGGTCAGCGGGGTGCTCGGTGCTTAGCAAGCACTCGGTAAACCCGCGCGTGCTTCTGGGTTGTCGTCACGCCACGTGCACGCACACATGCTTCCACCTGTGGGTGGTTTTGAAGTGGGCTCCCCCACCCGGGCCATCCCAGACGTACCAAATGCTCGTCTCTAGATCGAGTTCAGGGGTGTGATCTTCTCTTCACGCGCTCACAGGAGCATCTCAAGTGGTCTGTCCTGCAGCAGTGTTTGGGGACCACTGGTTCGGGTGCCACTGCCCTGGAGCGTTGCAAACCCTCTTGAATTTAGCTGACATCACTCCCTGGGTTTGAACCCAGGCCTCGCCCCAACTAAGTCCATGACTCTGGGCCAGTTTCCTAATGTTTCAGGATGCCTCAGTTTCCTCATTTGAGAAACCGCAACAGCGGCTGCCTCCGAGGATGTTTGAGAGGGTTGAAGCAGCCAGGCTGGGCAGACCGGTGAGAACAGGGTCCAGCAGGTGAATCACCGCACGGAGCGGGGACAGCAGTAATGCCCTGTCCCTGGCCTGGGGCAGAGGCTTTGTGCAGGGCATTTCTTTTTTTTCCCATTACTTTATTTATTTTTGTTACAGATGTTACTCCTTTCCCCCCACTGATTCCCCCTCCCCCCTCCCACCCTGTCCCCAGCTTTCTTTTCTTTTTTTTTTTATCCTCACCCAAGGACATTCTTCCATTTTTTGTTCAGGTAGAGTGGGAGGGAGAGAGAGGAACAGAGAGAGAGAGAGAGAAACATCGATGTGAAAGGGACACATCGAGTGGCTGCCACCCGCACAACCGACCAGGGCCGGGGACAAACTGCAACCGAGGTACGCGCCCTTAGCGGGAACCGAACCCGGGTCTCTCCAGACCGCAGGCCGACGCTCTAACCGCTGAGCCAAACCACCCCGTCCCCAGCTTTGTTGTCCGTGACCTTTGTTCATGCACACATGTGCAAGTCATTTCCAGTTAAATCTTTGTCTCTAGAGATTATGGACTACCTCTACGAGACGAGTCTGCCTTTGCTCAAAGAAAAGCTGGAGAAGAAGATGGAGAAGAGAGGCGCCAAGCTCCAGGCGCCCGCGGCACCCAGGCGCGTCTTCCTGTTCAGAGACATCTTTTACTGTGACGACGACAGTGAGGAGGAGGACGGAGGTGGACAGAGCTAAAGGGATGCCCATTTCTTGTCCGCGTTCTGGGTTTGGCCGTATCTATAGACACGTGTCAGAAAGCTGCTTGCCGTGTTGCTGGTTAGTAAAGAAGATGCACTGGCCGCAGGAAGGGTGTCAAAGTGGTGACTTTGTTGTGGTGCATCGAGAACTGATTGGCGTCGTCAGATTTGAGTCAGCCAGACCGAGTTGGTTAGACTGAAAAGGAAGAGGCGCATATGAGTTGATTTCACATTTCTGTCCTAGCGAAAGCAATCACAGCTGCTGTTCTCTGTAGAACCTGGTTACCCCAAGCCCCCCGTGCAGCAGTGGGTGGTCGCGCCCTGGACATTTCATTGCGTGGATTGAACTGCCCGCGCACAGCAAGATGGGAACGCCGACGACTGCAGGCCACTCGCTTCCGCCGCCGTGTATCTGTGTGCGGTGGTCTGAGTGTTGGGTAAGTGTTAGGGGCTGGCTGCGTGTGATGCGCCTCAGACTGGTTTCGGTTCCCCTGTATGTGTCACTGTGTGCGGCTCATTTCCTGCGTGGTATTCTAGTGTTTAAAGACATGCCTTTTTTCGTACAAGATGCCCTCGGAGCCAGTCCCTGAGCCAGCCTGGTGTGAAGCTGCAGGGAGAACCTTGCACCGTCCCCGTTGCTTGCAGGGCGCTGGCCGTTAGGGAGGGATGCCCGATGCCCGGCACAGCCTGCCTGCGGGACCCGGGGCTCTCCCCGCGGGCAGGGAAGCAGGAGCACGCAGACGGTCAGCGGAGGGCTTCCTCCAGGGGCTTAGGCTGCACACTCGTTCAGCGGGATAGAGGGGCGAACAGGGAGGTCGAATTAACCAGTGATGCGGACCCGAGGGGAAGCCCTGTGGCCTAACGTGCCCCCGTCCTTCTCTGCAAACCCTGGGTGGCCTGGAGCCTGTACAGCTGTCCCTTCTCTGCCACACTGCCTCAGTGGGGACATGTGTCTCCCTGGAACACAGGTCCTGCCTCCCTCCTGCTGGGTGGTCTCAAGTGTCTCCATGGGCAGCCCCTGAGCGGGACCTGTGGCCAGGGAAGTCAGGTTTCCAGGCTCCTGGCCACATCTGTACAGGCAGAACACAGGAAGAAAAGTGAACAGTGTCCCATTACAGGGCTGGCGCCATCCGTGCCAAGGTGCGACCCCACTGCCTGAGTGTTCTCTCGGATGTCACTCGCGTTACAGCACAATGTGATGTTGGTCAGTTCACCTGCAAAGCTAGACGTTTCCCCAAACCTGCCGCAAGCCATTGTAGGAGTCCTGGGTCACCAGTGTGTCCGCAGCACCCAGCATTGTCAAATAATACCCGCTCAGTGAGCACTCGGTAAACAAACAAGGATTTTCTTTTTAGAAAGCATTTGCCTTTGGTCACGTCCTCTCTGTCTCTGTGCTGACGGGAACAGTGTTTGTTCCCCTTGCAGGACAGTCTGGTGAGACACAGCTGACCATAAGGAGGTGCGTGTTCTGTGACCCACACCCCCGTCTAGGACCTAAAGGGATAATGGGCTAGTGTATAACAACAGCACCTTTATCATGTGAGAGATTAAAAAAATGAAAATGTTCTAATGGAATGTGATGCTCTGATGTTAAATGCTGACACGTTTGCTTGACATAAAAAGAGATGAACAACATTATCAACTAAATATTTCAGAAGAGTTTATATATTTTCTCAATTTTATAAAATTAAAAATAAAGGGAAATGTGTATATATAGATACATTAAAATGTGTGTGGGAAGAATTAAACCTAAAGCGTCAATGGTTTTTCTCTGGGCAGTGGGGTTGTGAGTTTATAGGTTAGAAGTCTTGATTTGCGAAAAAAATCTGACTGAGATCTAAGGAATCTAGAACTGGAGGGAGGGTGCGCGCATTTTACTTGCAGGGCTCGTGTATAACAGCTGCTCAGTCATCCAGATGCTGTCTCTCCAGAGTGCACTTCACCTATAGTCCACACGGGGGCCCCTTCATACAGCCTCGAGTTCAGGATACCCACTCAGGGGAAGAAAAGGGTCGTCTCCTCTTCTTGCTCAAGTCCTGGGTTTTGTCCCTAATACCCACTGTCACTGTAGCTGGGGAGACAGGATTGCTTTGGGAGCTGGGACTTAGCGCAGCACCCCTTGAATGGCTGAGAGGGTCGGTACCCCAGTAGAAAATCGGGGTCCCATCACAGAAGAGGTGAGTGGACTGAGGGAGCAAACCACAAATGTAGATGACAGTGCGTCATCTACACTGACCTGCTGTGAGTTTGACCCATAAACTACTTCGTAGAAGTGATTTTTATACCTCTCACCTGTATCTCCTATGAGCTCCCCGCGGGGGAGTGGGGGAGCAGAGGAAGAACCTCGAGTAATATCTGCTCTTGGGAGGAAGAAGGGGATACAGGAGGTGACAGGTAAAAAGAAAACCTGTCTCACAAGAAACAAGACCCAGGGACAAATCAAATCGTTTTCCAACAGTCCTGACTCTGCGTTATTTGAGTTCTTGGTCCCGTTCATGGTCGTTTTACACCTTTTAATATGCGTATTCTTTATTATTATTTTTTTTTATCCTCACCCGAGGACATCTTTCCATTTTTTGTTCAGATAGAGCGGGAGGGAGAGAGAGAGAGAAACATCGACGTTAAGGGACACATCGAGCGGCTGCCACCCGCACGACCAACCAGGGCCGGGGACAAACTGCAACCGAGGTACATGCCCTTAGCGGGAACCGAACCCGGGTCTCTCTGTACCGCAGGCCGACGCTCCAACCGCTGAGCCAAACCGGCCAGGGCTAATATACGTATTCTTTAGCTATTGATGTTTGATTACAGGTTTCGTTATGCAACAGAGCGGCCCAGGGCTCTGCAGCGGAGGAGGTTAAACAGGGCACTCTCACTCCTAGGAGCACACCGGTGCCTTTCCCCCTCTTCTTCCCACAGGCGTGCGCCTCCTGGGCTGGCAGCCAAGCGAGCAATGGGCAGACCCCTGAACCTGTCCCCAGGGCCTCTCCTCTGACTCCAGGGAGCTGACAGCAGCCCCGCCTGGGCTCCCTTCTTTGCCATGTTTCTAGGAGGCAGCGCATCCCCGCCTCGTCTTCCTCCTTCTGCCTTAAGCCCTTCCTTGTTTCACGCTCATAAAAAAGGTCTCATGTCCTGGCTGGTTTGGCTCAGCAATTACAGCGTCAGCCCAAAGGGTCGCAGATTTGATTCCTGGTCAAGGGCATGTACCTGGGTTGCAGGTTCAATCCCTGGCCCTGGTTCAGGTTGTGCAGGAGGCAGCCAATCAATATGTCTCTTTCATACCATGTCCCTCTCCCTCTCCCCTCCTCCCTCCTCCTTTCCACTCTTTAAAAATCTTTGGAAAAATCCCTCGGGTGAGGATTAACAACCACAACAAAAAAGAGTCTCATAATCAGACCAAGATTGATTCTGGCCACAGCACACTTTCAGTCCAACAAGCAGGTCTCACACACACACAGTGAGCTGAAATGCCGCGGTGGACAGCACAGACTTGTGCCTGTTTTCTCAAAGGCTACACAGCCTAACCCTTTCTGAACACCATTTCCAGGTCATTTCCTGAAATCCAGTCATAATTCTTCAACCTCATCAAAGAATCCATCAGCTACTCTCAGCCTCTGCAGGCTGCCGGAGTCCGTCATCACAGTGTGAGAACGAGGCAGGACGAGGGGTGCGGGGTCTCCAGAAGTGCGGGTTTATTGGGAATCAGCCTGCCCGACTACCTCTAAGGAGAGAGCAACCAGCTTGTACAGACTAAGGATTTTTAAACTTAGGGCTGGGGGGTGGCCATTCAGCCGAGGAGACGTGGTCGTCTTTGGTCGGGCCTGGGTGGGTCTCCTGGAACTTGTTTTTCTTGTCGACCATTTGCAGTTTGGGGTGGGTTAGGGTGGTTCCGGCATTCCTTCAGCCTGGCTGGAGTGATGGGTTTGCTTTCCTGGGATGAGAGGCTTAGGGCAAGGTTAACCGGTAAGAGCCTTGGGGCATCAATATGAAAGTATGAAGAGGCTTGGGGCAGTAATATGGAGGTTAGAGCTGACATTTCCCGACTCTTAGTTCATATAATTTGGAAAAAGTTTGTGTTGATTGGAACTCTGGGTTGACCCCTAGGGAGGGCCTCTGTAGCTCCTTCCTGCTGTTCTCCCTCTGGGTTGCCCCTCCTGGGGGGTCACCTGGGGTAGTGGGGTGTAAGTTTGGAGTAGAAGTCGGTGGTGGACGACCCTGGCGAGCTTGGTCACCCGTGCACGTAGAAGTTTCAGAAAACTTGGGAGAAGCGGCAAGAGGAGAGAAATTACTATTAGTGGAGTTATAAGTGGGAGTAGGATGTTAAAGAGGGGGTTTGATCACCATTGGCCTAGTGGTGATGCTTCCTCGGGCCTGTGATTGCGGAGCCTCTCCTGGAGTTTTCGGAGAGAGTATTTTTCCCTATCATACCTGATTCGTTGATACAGTAGCAGCATTTTTCTTGGAGGAAAAGGCAGGTACCTCCTTTCTCAGCGGTGAGGAGGTCCAGGGCCCGTCGGTTTTGGAGGGTGACCTCTGCTAGGGAGGTGAGTTGTTGTAGGGAGGCTAGAGAGGCTGCTGAGTTCTCGAAACCTCGTTCTAAATCGGCCTGGATTTGTTCGGTCATTTTAAGGCTGTGTCCGAGTCCGATCCCCCCAATTCCTAGGGCTGCTACTGAGGTGGAAAAGGTGCGGCCTGCAAGAAATGGGAGGAAAGTAGCCCGCTTCTGGCGGGAGTTTGAAGGGTTCCGGCTCCCTCACCCTCAGTGTAACGTAGAAGCTGTGGGGCGAGGGTTGCGGGACACATGGGCCCAGAGAGGTGGTGTCGATGCGGTTGGTTGGAGTGTGGTTCCACCAAAAAAAGTTCCCCTGGGACTTGTAATGTCAGAGGTAATTTGATGAGTTTGATTGCATGTCGGGTGGGAGATGGCATAGATTATAGGTGTCATTTGGGGTGTATGAGGGCACGTGGTCTAGGGAAAAGGAGGAGGCGGGGCAGGTTTTAGAAGTGTTGAGGGTATGGGAGTGGGATGCAGCCCCTGGTGGTCGATCCAGGAAGGCACAGAGGAAGCATGGAGAGGGCTCGACTTCCTGGGCTAGGTCTGGAACTTGGACTCCCTTTTTGATTACATTTAGCCATGAAAATGGGGGTTGGTTTGTTAGAGAGGTGTTCCGTTAGGGAAGTCTCCTGGGCTAAGATTTTGTGGATGAGGTCTTCTAGTTTCTGGAAGGATGTTTTTTGCGGGACATGTTTCCGGTGATGATTATGTGGCATTTGGTCCATCCCTTGATAAGGGTTTCTTTTTGGCCTCGTTCCCACTTACAGTCCCAGGGGTCAGAAATGGAGAAAGTCCAGGGGCCGGTGGGTGTTTTTATACGCCTGCTGTCTCTTAGGACATGTGGCGGCTAGCATACAGCTATTTTGGAGGGCGAGGTCTATGGAAGAGGGGGCGCAAAGCTCCATTCCTTGGAATGGTTGTGTTTTGTCAGAGTTGGGAGCAATGGTGATGGTTGAGGAGCAGCCCGTGCGGGGCCAGTCTGTGGAGGCGATTATTTGGTTAAAGGCTGGGTGGGGGATATATTAAGAAAGAACCTCCAAACGTCGGGTTCGGGCCTTGAGGTCAGAGGAAGAGATGTGAAGAGGGCCAGAGGAAGAAGTAGGGAAAGCATGTTAAATGGGAAGAAAGAGGAAGAGGAAGGTGTGGAAGTCGGTGTCTGGGGGTGTAAAGCCTCCAAGGGCTCCTTGCCAGAAGAGGTCTTGGGTCCAGGCCAGGAGGTCGTCTATATTAGAGCTGCAGGGCCTGAACCAGCGATGTCTTCCAAACTCTGAGAAAATAAAAACATCTTGCAAGGTAGAGGTTGTGCATTGCTAGTTGATAGTGTTGGTATAGTGTAAGTCGTGAGTGAGCATGTTGTCTCGAGCGAGTCTCACACACAACCCCTCCCTTCCCAAACCCCTCAGCTCTGGTGCTTCTCTGTTCAGGACCCCAAACCTGGGCGAGCCCTTCCGTCTGCCTGCTACCTGCGTGGGAAGAGCTGAATATTCCCAGAAGTCACACAACTCTGCTTTCACTTTAATGACTATAAAGCGCAAACGGACACAATGTTACAAAGGAGTCCACTTGAAGTCTCATCTAGGTTTGCTTTTCTTTTTGCCACATTAGCTATTTTAAACATTCAACCTTCCCACCCCATCCTCTGCCCTTTTCATGACTCACTGAGAAAATTAAAGCCATCAGACATCAATCCCCTCTTTCCTCCAAAACCAGGTACATCTACCTCCAGTTACACTCGCTGCTTCTACCACAGCTGAGTCCCTGCACCTGAGCTCCATGGCCTGACCCTGATTTAGACCAGAGACTTTGGTCCTTTGCTGATCCGTCTCCTACATTATCAGTCTCCTGTTCCGGGTTGTTATCACCATATGAACAAGCTCTGGTGTTAACCAGCTTTAAATATATACATTTCTACGGAGTCATTGAGCGCTTTCTGCTTCCCTCCCAACTTCCGAATGTTCTGGTTCCTCGGGCCGCCCTGGGCTCTTCACGGGCCTGGAAACCGTGTGCCTGCTGACGGCCCCGAAACGTGCCTGGAGGCCAGATTCTCCCTGAACTCCCGGCCCAAAGATCCAGCTGCCTGCTGGCCGCCTCCATGCGGTGTCCACGTGGAGCTTAACTGGTTACAAACATGTTAGC